CTAAGGAAGGCAAAGATCCTCATAATAAATCAGAATCTTTAGGCAATAACGTTCATATTTATATTGACTTTTCTCTTTTCCACTATGTGAAATAAGTTCCTCAACAGCAGCAAATGTAAAACTGGGAGACTAGCTCATAACTGATATTTTATGAGATTAGTTTGACCCCATATTGTTTGGGAATTAGCTGCAGGCAGAGGATTCTTTCATCAGATGTTATGCAAAAGTTTTTCATTGTGTTGACTAATCTAAAAAAAAAAAAGTAGTGAAGGAGTAGGTCAGAGCCAGTCTGTGAATCAGTTGCCTGTATTTGAAATTTGTTGTTTGAGCTGTCCTTGATATTCTGTGATAAGTCCCATTAAGTCATATAGTTCTGTTGCATTTTAGGGATTGGATTTGTATGCGTTTCCCTCACTGTGGGGGTGGGTTGACTAACAGTGTGCAACATCTGCTTGTATTTGCATACCTGCACCTGAGGTCTGGTAGCATGCGCAAAAAGAACTCCCCTTGTACTCTGTAGTAAGGGTGCATAGTCCAAGGGGTTACGTGGCCAAAAGTATTGCTGCACGCTTCATGCGTGCTGAGGATGGGATATACAGATCTCCTGGCCCACTTCCTCCACAGCAAATAGCTAGTCAGTGGGTCAGTTATTATTTAACTCTGTCTCTGTACATTCCCCCATAGTTGTCCTTATACTAGAGGTGCACCAATAGAGATTTGTGGGGCCAATACCAATATCTGATTTTTAAGGAGGTATATCAGTCGATACTGATACAATTTTCCATACAGCTTGGAGAGCTGCCTCCAGCTGGTAAGTCCATTGTGGTGGAAGGGGAGGGGCAGATCAATGCCCCTGTGGTGAGGGAGGGGGCAGGGGCAGGTGCTGCCCAGGTGGGGTGCAGCAGGGCACAAGATAGACCCACGGCTCATCAGTGGGGGGAGGGGGACTCCCACCACTGCGTGTACCCTGGGGGGACACAGGGGGCAGGGGCATGTGCCCCCCGGATCTGCGTGGAGCAGGTCAGGGTGGGCTACATCTGTGGGCTGGAGCCAGAGCTGCACTGGGCTCTTCTCACTGGGGTCTGGGCTCAGGATGGGGGGCTACAGAGGGGGCTGCAGCCACCCCAAATTTTACCATACCTTACCTTCCTCCCAATGCCACCACTGCCACATGCCCAGTGCAGCCCTGGCTCTTCCCAGCGCATGGGGGGAGGCAAGGGTTGAGCTGGGGCAGTGGTGCTGGGAGGGAGCTATGGCAAAATTTGAGGTGGCTGCAGCCCCCCTCTGTAGCCCCCACCCCCAGCAAGAAGAGCCTGATGCAGCCCCGGCTCCAGCTGTAGCTGCAGCCTGCTTGCTCTGCCCTGCCCCATGCAGAACCATGGCACACACCCTCCGTGCACAGCTGTGGGAGCCACCCCCCCACAACGAGTTGCGGGTCCATCACTCCCCACCTCAGCTGGGCAGCACCTGCCCCTCCCCCTCACCGCAGGGGGTGGGGTGATTTGCCCCCTGTGCCCTTTCCCTCCCCCCATCCCTTCCACCACAATGGAATTACCAGCTGGAGGCAGCTCTCCACGCTGCTGGGCTGTGCTCTTCACTGCGTGAGTGCTGCGCTGCGGCTGCACACACATACAGGTAATTATTGGCCCTGTTGTGCCGATTTCCGATGCAGTCAATTTTCTTTATATTGGTACCAATCCGATATCAGACCGATGCATCATTGCATCTCTACCTTATATGTGAAATTCATAGATTCATAGACTGTAAGGCCAGAAGGGACCTTGGAAGCCAGATCCCTCAGCCTTTCCTTGTATAGTTTGCTGTGTAAGACTCTGATCATACCGGTGGCTCTTCTTTGGACTCTCTCAAGCTTGTCCATGTCCTTGTTAAAGTGTGGTGCCCAGAACTGGACATAGTACTCCAGCTGTGGTCTCACCTGTGCTGAGTAGAGCAGAAGAATCACCTCCTTGGTCTTGCTGGAGATGCATCGATTGGTGCATGCCAGAGTATTATTTGCCCTGCTGGCTACAGCATCGCACTGCCAGCTCACGTTCATACTGTGGTCTATTATTACCCCCAGATCCCTTTCATTCGTGGTGCTAGTAAGTTTGCTGCCGCCAAGCCTGTAGGTGTGTTGGGAGGTGGAGCACTTTACATTTCTCAGTGCTGAACTTCGTCAGGTTCTGATCCACCCAACTTGCCAGCCTGTCTAGGACCACCTGTATCTGTAGCCTATCTTCAAGCGTGACCATGCTTCCTCATTACTTGGTGCCATCCACGAACTTGGCTTGTGAGCTCTTCACCCCCACATCCAAATCATTAATAAAGATGTTGAAAAAGACTGGACCAAGCAACACCGCTGCGGGACACCACTGCCCACTTCTCGTCAGGATGACACAGATTTGTTCACTACAACTCTCTGGGTCCTATCCTGCAGCCAATTTCTTACCCACCTGACTGTCTCAGAGTTAAGCTCACAATCCTCCAATTTTCTCATGAGGACATCATGGGATACTAGATCAAAGGCCTTTTGGAAGTCAAGGTATACAATGTCAACCTGCTCTCATGTCCAGGTGGCAAGTTACCTGGTCATAGAAGGAGATGAGGTTGGTAAGGCAAGACCTGCCTGCGATGAAGCCATGCTGGCTGTCATTCAGAATCTTACCTTCTGCAAACTTATCACAGATAGACTCCTTGATGAACTTTTCAAGGATTTTCCATAGGATGGAAGTTAGGCTGATTAGCCTATAGTTACCTGGGTCCTCCCTCCTGCCTTTCTTGTGGATGGGCACAACATTGGCCCTCTTCCAGTCCTCAGGGACTTCTCCAGAGCGCCACAAGTTGTGGAAGAATTTTGCCAGGGATTCTGTAATAACTTCGGCCAGCTCCTTCAGCACTCTTGGATGAAGATCATCTGGTCCCTCTGACTTGTATGTGTCTAATTTTTTTAATTGGTCATACACCAATTCTATGTCAATAGTAGGAAGGTGATTATTCCTGCTGTGCTCATCCTGTACTCTGCCTGGCATTGTTTTCCCCTTGGTCCAGTGGAAGACCGAGGCGAAGTAGTCATTCAGGAGTTCAGCATTCTCCTGGGTCCTCCCTGAAATGGGTATGTAACCACTGGAGCACACTCCTTTCTAGAACCTAAAAAAAAAAAACCTAGAGGTGCACCAATACATCAGTTCAATACCGGATTGGCACCAATATAAAGAAAATTGACTGTATCAGAAATTGGCTTTTTTTGCTTGATGTGGCCAGTAATGTGGCTGATAAATGCCCTGTACGCATGTGCAGCCGCACTGCAGCATGTAGGCAGAGAGGAGCACAGCCCAGCAGCTTGGAGAGTTGAGTCTAGCTGGTAAGTTTGTTGTT